GATGAGGAGTTGCGGGAAGCAGCAGAGAGCTCTAAGTGAGTATTATAGAAGATGTTTGAGACCTTTGACTCTTTGTTTTTTTTTATGTCATACTACAATACAGTGCTCTGGCTATATGAACATGTTTGTCTTTTTCATTTCTTTATAAAGAATCAACAGCTTTCTCCAAGGAAGTGAGAAACCACAAGAATCAATGTAAGATTTCTTAATCGTGTAGTAAATAGCCATTTCAAGTCAAGCATTATGTTTAAAGTCAACATGAAATCACAACATACCCTTTTTACATGTTCCTCATGCTGCATGATTCATCAGTGCATGTTATTTTTTCCATTCAAAACATTCCTTAAACTCTAATGCTCTGCTGACATCACCAAGAAGTAATGTTGACAATGAAAAAGAATTGTTGACAATAATGCAATAATGTGAGATGCTCTCAGTGATGAACTTGAGCCTCTTTAATACTCAAGGTATATATAGATATACTCACTTGGAAATACATCATAATACAGAAGAAAGATGTGATGTGATTCATGTCGACTTTAAAGTATATTCAAATCATTTTCTGATTTTTAAAAATAATACTAAATGATCACAATATTTTATTAATAATGATTAACTGTTTAAAAATTTGTTTCAGAGCTCAACCCAATGCGAGCAGTTCATAAGAGCCGTTGGCTGTGGGTGCAAGAACAATATGTCTGTAAAGGTTTTGAGTATTTCAAATTGTAATGATTATTGTACACTGATGTGGATGCAATAATCGTATAAAATAAGAGAAAAGGGTATTTTTGTGCTTTGGTATCTCACAGTGCTGGGATGAATAGTGCAGCACCACATATTCTTCAACACAAATCACCTCAAATGTAATAATTCTTCTCACTTAAACCAGCGCATTGCTTGGATCATTCTTTGTCTCCTATCGTCTTGCAAACGTTTCTCTTGTTACTTGAATTATGCATGAGAGGCATTTTAGCAATAATATAATGTAGTACTTTTCCCCTTTAGACTCCTAATTTTCACCGTCAGGTATTTTT